GAGTGTCTCCTCGCAAAGTGCTTGAAGAGGCCATGAGATCAAGGTTGGTTTTCTAACTACCCTGCAGACATTGACTAACAACCGCAGGGATGCTGGAGCGCGACTATCTTACAAAATGGTCTCACCCACAACGTATACTTGTCGGCACTCGGTGACCATCACCTGGTCGAAGGAACAAGACATCGAGTACGACACCGATATTGCTGGGGTTGTTTGTACTCCGTACCGGAAGCAAATCATCTTCGAGGCGACTGAAATCGCTGCTGTATCGGTTGAGCAAAGTGAAAGCTTCATATCTGTCGCTGCACTCTTCTCAATCTCTGCTGCTCTACCGAAAGAAGAGAAGGTTTACCTCCGGCTTCCGTCTAACTGGAGAGACGTCTACAGGGAGTTCTTAGAGCGCCGCAAGACACGCCTAGACGCGGAAGATCGTGATGCTATCAAACATTACCGTTCGATCATCGAGGATCAGATCGAGAACGAAGAATCAGATGGTGTCGTGCTTACAAATCGCTTTAAGATGCGCGCTCAGGCGGCTACAAGCTCGAGCGCATCGAACTCGGGCTATAGCACACCGGTGCGACATCACGACGGTCTGAGAGAATTGTGGGCTGCAAAAGCTTCAACTTCATCATACCAACGTATGCTTGTTGGACGGATGAACCTCCCAGTCTTTAATTTTAGGGACTCTATCTTGTCAACAATCGACAAGAATCAGGTTACAATCATTTGCGGTGAGACTGGCTGTGGAAAGAGTACACAAATTCCGGCTTTCGTCCTCGAGCACGAGCTCTCACAAGGCAGGTCATGCAAGGTCTATTGTACAGAGCCAAGACGTATATCTGCAATTTCGCTTGCGCAACGTGTGAGCGAGGAACTTGGCGAAGGACCCAAGGACCTTGGATCAATGCGCTCACTTGTAGGATATGCAATTCGCCTTGAATCAAAGACGTCTTCACAGACTCGCTTGATATACGCAACTGTTGGTGTGGTATTGCGAATGCTAGAATCATCTGGAGGGCTACAAGAGGTCACACATTTGGTCATCGATGAAGTCCACGAAAGATCCATCGACACAGATTTCCTTCTTGTTATCCTTCGATCACTCATGGAACGCCGACCTGAACTCAAGGTCATATTAATGAGCGCTACGGTAGATGCCGCAAAGTTCTCAAGGTATCTTAACGACGCGCCAATCCTCACAGTACCAGGTCGTACCTTCCCAGTTCAGACTCGATACCTGGAGGATGCGGTTGAGTTGACCAATTATACTGGAGCATCTGATGTGACCAAAAACACCGCTACAAGCGATGATGACGAGGGTGACGATATCACAAGCGATAAATCCGGTATCCCCAGCAAACTACCAGGTTACAGTCCGGCCACACGTAGTGTGCTCTCCGCGTATGACGAGTACGCCATTGATTACGATCTAATCACTCGTCTGATTGAGACAGTCGGGTATGATTCGCAGTTGAGCCGCTTTAGCAGTGCCATCTTGGTATTCCTTCCGGGTATCGCTGAGATCCGCCAGCTCAATGACATATTGGTCAGCCATCCCTCATTCAAGGCCGATTGGTATGTGTATCCACTACATTCCACCATCTCAAGCGAAGACCAACAGGCCGCATTCCTTGTCCCACCTCCAGGCGTACGCAAGATCGTGCTTGCTACGAACATCGCTGAGACCGGAGTCACAATTCCGGACATCACCTGCGTCATTGACACAGGTAAGCACAAGGAGATGAGATTTGACGAACGCAGACAGCTATCACGCTTGACACAATCATTCATATCGAGAGCCAATGCGAAGCAGCGACGCGGTCGTGCTGGCCGTGTACAGGAAGGTCTATGCTTCCATCTCTTCACAAAATATCGCCACGATAACCTCATGGCGGAACAGCAAACACCTGAGATGCTGAGGCTTTCACTCCAAGATTTGGTCATGCGCGTGAAGATCTGCAAGCTGGGTGATATCGAGGCTACCCTTGCTCAAGCACTCGATCCACCCAGTTCGAGGAACATTCGCCGTGCTATTGATGCACTTGTAGAGGTCGATGCGTTGACGCCGAGCGAAGAGCTAACACCTCTTGGTCGTCAAATCGCAAAGCTCCCATTGGATGCACACTTGGGCAAGCTTGTACTTCTTGCAAGCACATTTGGTTGTGTTGACGTTGCTATCACCATTGCTGCCGTTGTGTCTTCCAAGTCACCCTTCTTGACACCGTTTGGAGCAAAGCAACGAGCTGACATCGCTCGCCTCGCATTCAAGAAGGGCGACTCCGACCTCCTCACCACATACAACGCCTATAGGGCCTGGAAAGCAGTCTGTACCACACCGGGACGATCTGAAATGCAATTCTGCCACAAAAACTTCCTGAGCCCGCAAAACCTTGGGAACATCGAGGACCTCAAAGCCCAACTCTTCTCCTCACTAGTCGATGCAGGCTTCATCCAACTCACGCCCGACGAGCGCCGCGCTACGAACCGCTACCGCAACACATCCCGCCACCGTGTCTTCGTCGACATACCACCTCAATACGACATTCACACCGACAACGACGTCCTGGTAAACTCCGTCATCGCAACGGCCTTCTACCCCAAGATCTTGACCCGCGAAGGAAAAGGCTGGCGCAACATTTCTAACAACCAAACCGTTTCCTTGGGCCCAACTTCCGTTAACAAGGGTAGCCAAACCGCACACTTCCTTTCATACTACAACATTATGCAATCCAGCAACAAGTTCTACAACGCGCACTCTACTTCCATTGCGTACCCGCTTCCCATGGTCCTCATGGTCGCTGCGGACAACGCCATGGATTTCAAGTTACACGCCGGTGTCATCAGTCTGCCTGGCAACGTCCTCCGTTTTGCAGTGAGGGAGTGGAGGGCGGCTGTTGCGCTCAAGGTGTTGAGACGCCGCGTCAAGGAGATTTTGGCAAATAGCTGGAAGAATCCGAGTCGGCAGCTGAGTGATCGGGAGAAGGAGTGGTTGGGCTTGTTTTATAAGATGTTTGAGGAGAGGTTTGAGAAGGATGAGAGGATTAGGGAGAGGGGTGGGGGGAAGGCGAAGTGAGTTGATGGATGATGGATGGATGGATAGAGATAGAAGCTAGGTTGGTGTGGCTGTGTTATAGTCGAATGTAATAGCATGACTTGCTACCAAGATATCATCATTCACAGTGAAATCAGACATCTATTTCGCCAACCCGCATTTCCCGAATCTGAACCCTCGAATGTACACCGACGTGCCCTAGATCTAAGCAAGACTCCTAAACCCAATATGCAGCAACTCAGAAAACTCACAATCGCCTGAAAGCCTCAACGGAACCTCCTTCGTCCGAACGTCGACGCACTCGATACTTCACTATGATCCTCCTCACCGAACATCACCGAGGACATTGGACGGAGCGAGAACCACCTGCGCTTTTCGCGCGGCGGTGTATCTTCCCTATCAGAAACATCGGATAATGGAGACGTTGTTTGCACGCTTGGAGCAGTCTCCGTCAAAGAAAGACCCGGAGACGGTGTAAGGGGAGGCCGCTCCAGGACGTTGGGAAGACTGAGAGAAGACAACGGATGCTCCATGGAGATTTGCTGTCGCTGTATCGCTGCATAGCTGGGATGCGATGGTCCTTGGTAGGAAGTCTGCCTCTGGCCGTGGTTGGGTGCTAGTCGCGTTCTATCGATATTGTTTAGAGTCGGCGCGCTGCTGTCACTTGCAGCCCGTTGATTAGGTGATCTTGCCATGTTTGAAGGTGTAGTGATTCCGCCACGTGTGTTGGTACTGCTGCGACCGAGTGCTTCCAGTTCGGGGTACCGTTGTCTGGTCCTACTATATGCTGATTGACGTGCAACGTCAGCAGATGACCCGGACCGTCTACTTGATCGCAAAGTCGGATGATCGCTCAACAGTCTAGTAGCTGATTCACTAGTAGCGTCGCTCGACGGTTGGGAATTTTGATCGTTTCGTTTGGTGCGACCCTCGGTAACCTGTTCAGGACCAGTCTTCGTCGTACCATGCGAACCCACGGCTTGTTGAGAGTCATTCGTTTGAGTGGTTCCATTCCAGGGAGAAGAATTGGTTTCGGTACGAGCCATGTTATCGCTGCGGTGCTGCTGCTTTGGTCTGTTGAGTGCAGGTGTATCGTTGCTAGGTAATTCTACTGGAATACTTGTATGAGGGATACCATAACCACGCTGGGTAAGGTCTTGAGGCATACGATGGCTCCTTGTTCGTTCTGATATCACCTCGTGTGGCTGCTGCTCTCGGTTAGCATACCGATTGTTTGAGGTATACGTCGACCTCTGCCTCGATCTTCCGCCAGTCAGTACCTGCTCAGCGTCTGCTAGCGTACTTTGTTCTGAAATACTTCTGGAAGAAGCTACGGGTAATCCCAGTGAAGCGCTCAACTCCGGTATGTCACCCGAAGTGGGTAGCTCATGAGGTTCACGAAGCGAATCTCTCCTTGCACTCGACGAAGTCGTGGTAACAGAACCTCGATGATATCAGCTTCTGCTCACAGCCATTTTCTTGCTACTACTCACTTTGAGGTTCGTTGTCTCTCATGACCGCTCGAGGAAATCCACTTATGTGGTACTTGGCAGGGGCCAGGTCGCGGCTTCGAATGTGCAGTGAGATATCGATTTGTGAGTCCTTTCTCTTCGCCCTTATGTTGCAGACGGGCAACCGAAAATACAGCAGTTGCCGCATTTCAGATATGGTCTCCAATGGTAGAGGGATCTGAACTGCTTAGCATAGCAATGGTGCTATGATTGGAGTGCTTACTTGAGTGAAAGGACTATCCAGATCAGACTGAATCTCGAAGTAAGACTGGAAAGTACTTGTCTGGCGCTTTGCGAAGAAATCGCCCAGGCCTGTGAGCAAGGGAGAGTCGTTCTCGAACCTACAGCGGATATGACCTTCATAGCCAAGTCAGCTGCAACCTCTTTGCTTCGCTTGTGATGATCGCCTACCTAAACAAGAGAAGGTCCCATCATTAATTGATACCGGGCTATCAAGTAATTCGAAGTAGAACGTACTAGCCACAAGTATATGTGTGACCCTTGCAATCTGAGCACGGTTTGCGGATGTTTTCAGTGCCTTCCGAGTATCCCGAATCAACTCTCCAACCTTTTTGACTTCGTCCAGTTTCGGCGGCTGACGCTCGATGTCTGGATTGATACGAACGTATCGCAATGCATCATCTCTTGTTGGGGCCATGTCGGAGCAAAACTTATCCCACGCCTGCTCGGCGTCCAGAATGTTATCCATGAGGTTTCGCTACTGATTTGTCAAAAGAGTGCTCCCGAAAGTCTTAAGCAAACGATCATCCCAAGCATCGGATAAACATACCATCTGAGTAACGATTTGAGGCATCATATGGAACGTAGGTCGTCGAGTCCTATCTTCGTCTGTCATTGTCACATCAGGCTGCTCGACTCGTGGGTCTGCCTTGTTTTGACTTGTACCTATCGATAAGAAGAGATCCGGCGCTCGATCAGCAACATCAGGCCATATCAGCTTCCTCTCATGGTTCATGAGCCGGACGGGATTATTATGGTATATTGCACCGTCAAGATATGTCCGATGGGTATCAACGTGTTCAAATGGCTTGAAAAAGGTCGGCGCGGCTGATGTGGCAGCCGCAGCATCAGCGATGGAAAGGCCAATCTCAAACCGGTCAGGTCGTAGAAATTCGTACTCCGCGGGTCGTAGTGAGCTTTTTTCGTCCTCTTTTCGGCTGTAGTTTGCAATAATGATCGCCTTAGATCCCGTTTTATCTGTGGCTGTCACAGCGACCTTGGTATTTACATACGAACTTCGTTCTCCATAATTGCCGAAGAGATGATCTTCTCCGAAGTTGTGTATGAGCGTCTCTCTGAAGGGACCTGTCGAATACTTTGAAGTGAGCTTCAAAGTTATCAGGTGTCTCAGGAAAGGAATGCTGTGCAAAGTCCGCGGTGTGAATGCAGTACTACACAATGATCTGAACTTATCAGAACAACGCCTTAGGCTCCAGTTTTTGGCGACCATTGCTAGCGCTATGATACCGCCGGTGCTTCGAGACGTAAGTATTGTGGTACGTAAGGGTACTCAATACTTACCTCGTTCCCATGATTAGGTCGAAGAATGCCTGGATAGGGATTCGGTCTCCGATCTGGTTTTGTATGGCTCGAAGTACTTCCAGCTCAACGATACCACGCACACCACCTCTTTGTAGATGTTAGTGTCCAGCATATTGGGAGGTAACAAAAGTAAGGAAACACTGTAGAAACTATTGGTAAGCAGATCTGTGCTCCAATTACATACAACTTTCTCTCTGCGAAAAGCTTCAGGATTTAGCTGGAAATGACTTACCCGTCGAGGCATAGTAGACGAATTCCTGCATGCTCAGGCTTAAACCTGAGGAGACACGGTACTTCCCATCGCGTTTCTTCAGGGTGTAGGGGGCAACATTCTAGATTGACCAGACATCGTGTATTAGTAGCATTCTGCGAACGCTGTCCATGAGCCCGCACGCACTGTGTGCAAAGCACATGTCCACACCGAAGAGCGTGCTCAGGTGATTGCATAAGACAGCAGAAGCATGTAGCGTGACTAAGAATCCCACTTGCGGAACCCAAAGTATCAAAAAATCTGATCGTGGTGTCATGGTGGATCTCCATCATGTAGGCCTCCCTGGAATATCCTGGTGCTCGTCGTGAAGCGTTTCCTAGTTCGCGATCAATGTCGCGCATCTGCGATCGAATACTATCTTCCCAAACCGGAAGATAACTTTCTGGTTGGAAATAGGACTCGAAGTCGCCGGGTATCACTTTGCCTTTAGCGTTCTGGTGCCCTTTTGAGTCGTGGTTGACACCAACGTTTACGCATTGATATGAGCCGTTGGAGAATTCGCAAGTGAGATGCTGACTCCAGAAAGTCTCTACTGAAAACTTGCAGTAGTTCATATAGTAAACAAAGTGATCCAAAGCAGAACCTGTGAAATGTCAGGGAGTTCAACAGTGAAGGTTTGGGGAACGTCCAAGATGGCCAGCACCCAAAGCATCTTAGTACAATTCGAGGTCCAGAGGAATATTGTGTCAAGAAAATGCCTAATACCACGTACCTTTGCGATTGCGAACGCAATCAAGAGATATGCTGGAGGCTACAAGTCTAGACATACGATCAAAGATGGAAGTAGCCTTGTTTATCTTTTTGAACGCATTCTTGGAGAGCGCTGATCTTTTATTATGAGCTTGTATAGCAAGCGCGAGTTGAAGCATATGCCCCCCAAAGTCATTGGGTATTGGGTTGTTGATTAGAGCCATGGCAATGAAGTCGAAAGGCATGGTGAGCGTACGCGAAAAGTGGCTGAATACTGCCTGGAAATGCATGTCCAGCTCAAGGGATTTGAAGAGCATGTTCGCTCGTTTCCGGGAACCGAATGACTTTGCGCACGAAGAATTGATCACCTGGTAAAAGCGATTGACTTGGTTGTGTAATAGTTGGTACCTGCCTTCACGTGGTATGCGTATGACCTGGAATGTGGAATAGTAGCAGTGTATCAGATCAAGGATGGATCTTATGCGCCGTCCTCTTTCTCTCCAACTTTCGGCTAGGCCGATGAAGAAGGGATGTCCATGCCTGGGGTTGATGCAGTGTTTATTGGCCGCTAGCAAGCTTTCCGTTGCCGATTTACTGTCCCATTCATTCGGATCGGCACTTGGTTCGCATTTGTTAAGTGCAATGATGGCATGTGGAAGTGTCGGTTGATTTACGGACGTCTCCAAGGACGCGTCAGCCCATTGCAACAAGGGTTGCAGGGTTGCTACCTCGAATGTTCTTGTAAAAGCGTAAGTGATAAGATTTCCGGAGGAGACGTTGCACCTACTTGGAATTTGCGCCATGCATAACAAAGACTACTACGTCCGAGAGAGTGTAAAGGATGCGTGGGTATAACTCTTTCACGATATAACTTCTTTTTTCCCTTTCCGTATCGGCAGTGGCCCATGCCAATGATCGCTTACGACCTGGAGTCAGCCGTGCAGAGACCGAATCAGGGTTTGACTGCGATTTGCGGTTCTCTCGTGCACCTATTGGTGGGCTTTCACCGCCCTCTAGGCCTTCACAATCTGCATACAGCAAGGGCGTTCGTGAATCGATACTTCTGGAGTCTGCATATAGATGTACATCGGCGGATGTTGGAGTGTGCTCAATAGGATCATTACCGGGCCTTTCATTTCCAGCTTGCGCCTCTAGTCGCCTTAACCCAACAATAGGAGAAGGATATCCTTCCGCTAGGATACTAGGTGCTTGTAGTTCAATGAGCATGTTGATCAAAGTACTTTTACCGGCATCTGGTGCGTAGTTAGTGTCATCGAGACGGTCAGAACATCAACTGATGGAGTTATTACTGGTTTGTCCGATGAAAGACACAATTTGCGGGTATTTCTCTTTGCCGCTTCTGAGCGGGCGGCCCAATAATTCGGAGTACACATCATAATCGAGGAATTGTTGACGATTTGACTGGTCACCCGTTCTCTGGAAACTGTCATGACGCTCTGGATCATCGTCTCTTTTTACACCTTCGATGATGTCAGTGTTGACCTACGCACACAATGGATATCAATCGTACCGAACCAGGTAGTAGCCAGGTCGCGCTCGTGGAGTTCTTCCACTTTCTCCTTGCTGTGCTTGGGCTCCAATATGCTCATAAGTTTGGTGTACACATAGTACTTGACCTTCTCATGCGGTCCATCTCTACCTTCTCTGCCATCGCGATGCGCCAAAAATTGCTCCCAGCAGGGCTCGCAAAACTCACTGGCGCAGTCCACGCAGTACCAAACACAAGCAGTACCCCTCGTACAACCTTGCATGCGAGCGTCGCAATCGTTGAATGGTCGTGGCATACCCGCTGAAAGGTCCTGAACGACTGCTGTCGGGTTGAGGATGCGGGAGAGTTGCGGGGAAGTCGTTGAGGCAATGATCTCTATGCTAATATTCAGCCTCATGCAGGCGCTTTGCTGAGCTGCATGCCCATCCAATCGATATCATCGCGGTAGGTGCATGTTAGTAAAGCCACTGTCGCGTGTCGACTTGACGCCAAACGAATTGGAGTGTATACCGTCAGCCACTCGACTGTTCATCACGGCAAGTCCGCAACTTGAGTTGACCGGTCGGAATCGTGAAGCGAACGGCGATTGCGCCGCGGAATCGGGTCGCATTTACCGCCGTATCTTATTGAAAGAAGTGGTTCTAGGCGCCAGCCTTGGATGCCACAGCGTTAAATGTGTTCGGAACGGATGATGTTAAACGGATAGAGTTGGGCGGTGATAGGCAATGGCGCACAGACCAATCATCCGCCAGGAACGATCGTCAGTTCCCCTGTGCCTGCTCTTTCGTCATGCGTATTAGCAGATCGATCCAAACTTCTAGATAATCGGGTTGCATGCTATGGCATCTAGCGAACGCCATGCATGATGCACCACGGTGTGCAATTCGCGGACTTTGTTGCACCACGGCCCTCACGAGGAAGATAGAGCATTTATAAGCAAAGATAGCTTTCTTACCTCTAAAACGTTACAACGACAGCAATCAAAGATAAACAAAAGCTTATAAAAGTACTCTTCTATAGAGATTCTATAGGCCAGCACCTTTTAAAAAATTCTTTTATCTGTTGTTGCGTTGTGCAGCACTTTTAGAAATGTCTTGTTTTTACCTAGGTAGATGTTTTTAACTTACGTTGTGACGAAAAAGTTACATGGATAACAGCCTGAAATATTAGTCCGCCGCTTGATAGCTTATACGCGTGTGATTTTCTCGAGAACTTGTCCGGTAAGTCTGCTGTAACGAAGATTGAGAATGTTGGTGTCAATGTGACAACAAGTCCGAGATGAAACTTGGGCGGGGGTCGCGCCAGCTAATCACGCCCCAGACCGCCAGACCGCCGAACGAGGTCGGAAGGGTTTGTTTTGCTCTAATTTTCTTACGGCCACAAACACTTCTCGTCTCTTTCATTAATTCATTGATAAATACTCGAATCGAGTAACAAAAACAACACAGAAACACATCATGCCACCCATGGCGAGCTCTATACACCCCGACTTCCGGGACGATGTCACTGTAGCGCAAGCTCGTGCGGCAGACGAGAAAACGGAACGCCTATTCTTCGAACAACAGGTTGCGAAAAGAGCTGGAGATATGGACCGCTATTTGCAGCTTGCGCAAGAGATGTTACAAACTCGACTAGGCGTTTACAAACCTGACTCGATGCCAGTTGGCGATGCCTGGTAGGAAGAGCCAAGGTGCAAACCCCATGCGAGATATCCGCTGACTTAGTACACTTAAATTCCAGGTGCTTGATCGGGTCAGCCTATCGAAGAGAGTCTAAACTACAAGAGGCAATAGAAGCTACTGAGAAGAGCATCGAAATACACGCTGCAGGAGATAATGAAGACAACTTTGTACTAGCCAGAGAACAATTTTGTTTGATCTTGGAAGACATGGAAAAGCTCTCAGATGCTAAGGAAATTCGATTACGAGGCGCAAGTACAGGGAGGATGGTTTGTTCAAGCCCACAGGTATGCTGAGCGAAATGTGACCTGAAGCGATGTTCCTAACGTGCTCGGCGCAGTGTCACTTTCAATCATACGACTTTCGCCTACTGAATCGTGGCATTCGTCTGTTCAACTTGACTGAATTGCATGGGTGCGGTGGGTGCAGATCAGCGTTCTACTGCTCCCAGACATGTCAAAAACAAGAGTGGAAGAGACATAAATCTCCATGTAAGAAATATGTGTCTAGTAAAACTGAGGCATGATTGGTTACATCATCCTGTACGTGCTTTCTGTTTGAGTATCATACAGGCTTACCGAATAGAACTTGTTCACTACTATGTCCTTTAGCATCCGCCTGCGCAAAGACAATACGAATCGGACTACTCTTTCAAATGTATGTAGAAGTGGAGGCGCCAGGCAGCTAAAAGTCACACTTGTGCGACTTACTAAGACGAAATCTTGTTGTGTCTCATGGAATGCGCCGAGTATCTTAAATACGCCGGAAACAACCCTTTGTTGTGGCTACATTGGTGGTATGCGACTTGTGCAGGGCGGGGTATTTTAGCGCTTGTATGTGCCTCAGAACAATGTACCCCACCGACCCAGGTCGCGTCCCGGTTCGATACGACGCGCCTCGACGCCACACCGGTCACCACCACGCCACCCGTTGCGCATAATCACTTCTATCCAATCCGTGCCGTCCACGTAGCCAGATTCCAGCCTCACTGTGTCTAGAATCTTTCATCGCATTGGATTTCGCGATTCTCTTTCCCATAGTATTACGACTACCTTGCTTCATCTTCTCCTTCGAACCGTGTATCATCATAGCCTTCTCTTCGGTATACGCATGGTCTCTCAACCTACCTACGGCCGTTTTCCGTTTTCTTCTATGAGTAAAGGTCCAGATCCAATCATTAGCGCAGAGTTCTAGTTGGACAACAGTCTGAAATGTGGTACCATACTTTCTTTGTTGAACAACGACTCAACTCGTTCTTACAATGAACGATACGTTCCTAAATCGGTATGGACAAGGCCGTACACTCGCCAGTTCACACCATCCCGCATACTCGAGCATTGATTCCGAAAACAGGGATATCCGATTATTGGAATTGTGTCCCGCACTGTACGACGACACCATTCAATTGCGCCTACGGCCGAAGAAAGCAAATGAAAAGACAGATTATGAGGCTCTTTCATATACGTGGGGTACAACTACAAGTCCACGCGAAGCTCTCCTTAGCGGAACCCCTATTTCCGTAACTGAAAGCCTGGATCTTTGTCTCAGACGGCTTCGGTATGCTGATCGTTCTCGCATTCTTTGGGTTGATGCATTGTGTATCAATCAAGACGATATTCAGGAGAGATCGAAGCAAGTCCAGCTCATGGCGATGATATACAGTTCAGCGAAGAACGTACTGATATGGCTTGGAGAATGGGTACCGTCTGCTACGTGCGTGGATCAAGAGCGCTGCGAGAAGGACTTTTCTAAGCTTCTTGCCAAGTCACGTCGCATAAACTCTGTATTCGCTGCTTATTCTTCGTCTGCTGGATTCTTAAGGAAGACGTCTCAGTTCCTAATGTCAAGTGCTTTGACTCCCGAATTGTACCATTCCTTGGGCCATTTACTGGATATTATTCTCGGGCCCTGGTTTCGCCGCATATGGGTCATTCAAGAGTTTGTTTTGGCCAAAAAAGATCCGGTTGTGCACATAGGACTTCACTGTGCCAGATGACAAGACCTTTTTTATGCTATTCAAGGAAGTTACTATGCACTCCAGAACAAAAGCTATAGCGAGAAGACGAGAACTCCCGGTTTGGATTTTTTTGATTTGTACCTCGAAATCCAGATTTGCGCTTTATCGATATGGACACTTAACATGATGAGGAACGAGGGTGAAAAGAATCGCAGCCTATCGTGGTTGCTTCGACACTCGTATCATTCGGAAGCTACCGACCCAAGGGACAATGTATACGGGCTACTTGGAATCTGTCACTTCTCGGAGGCCGATCCGATTGTGCCTGACTATACGAAAAGCCTTCTACAAGTTCTCGCCGAAGCCACGGTGGTTGAGATCATAGAAGAATCCCCAGAACATTATCTCACCTATTTCAATTCAGTTCCACACGAGGCATTTGGACCAAACGTCCGTACACCTTCATGGATCATGAGCTACGCCCGCATCGATCTGGAAGACCGTGAATATAAGAAACCGTCTTTGAAATCGAGGGAGCGCCGGCATGGTTCAATACGCCTATCGGAAGATCACCAGACTCTTTTTACACAAGGAAGATACGTTGGCACGATCTCAGCGGTTCTTTCTTGTCCGTATACTCCGAATAACAAAGAGATTGACGATGCACGTTCAATGGCCGCTAAAGTATACGGCTTCTATCACAAGATGCTAAAAGCTTCAAACATAACACCACAACGTCTATACAAGATGCTAGCGTACAACCACAGACTCGACAGAGGATTATATGACTTCGTTACTTGTTTACTAGGAACCGAAGACGGTTTTGTCGATATGGTGGTTGAGAATGGTACTAAATTGTTAGCAGATCATCGCTCTTTAATGATAACGCAAGAAGGCGATCTTGCATTGGCTTGGCACGAATCCGGTATCGAGGTGAAGGTCGGTGACATTGTCGCCAATCTATTTGGGTACAATATACCTTTTATATTAAGGCCAATAGAATTTAGGGCTTCGGTGTATAGAATGGTCAACGTCGCTTCGTCCGAAGGACACCGATCGCACAGCTGGCTTCAGCTTGAGGCTGAGCAAATGGACGAGTACGCAATTGAATGAAATTTCGTGTATTTGTAATACTCGTTACACAGGTGTATGACCGACTAGCCTGCTGATAGCCAGATGAGTCTTTAACCACTAACACGTTGATACTCCGTAATGATACTAGACGTTGATGTAGTCGACGAACTCAGTATTACAATCCCACAAATTCTTCCTATTTTTCCTCCTTCCCATCCCCCATTCCCTCTCTCACCTAAAACCTACTAACATCCCTCCCAAACACCCAATTAACCGCCCAATAAACCGGCACAAGAACCTTATTCCTCCAACTAACCGTTCTCGTCAAATACGCCCCCCGCCAGATAATCCACGCCACATAACCCTGCAATCTCCCACCCCACTTGCCACCTCCCTGGAACAAGGCATTCCAATTACCAATATACGCCAGCGTACCGAGATCTTTGTATGTGAATCCCTTGGACTCTGAAGAAGGCGAGGACGGGGATAAGTCGCCCTTGTTTAGCCGTTTGGCGAGCCAAAAGGCCTTTTGAGATGCGACTTGTGCGGTGGCGGGGTAGGTCGTGTCTTGGATGATGCCGCAGTCGCCGAGGGCGAAGACGGAGGGATGGATTGCTTCGGTTGTGGTGGAGCTGCTTTGTTCGGATGAGGATGAGGATGAGGAAGGGATTAGCTTTACGCGGAGGTGATCGTCGGTGATGATAGAGCCGGATTTTGGGTCTTTCTTGACTATCCATTTTACGTCTTTGTTGAGTGCGGAAGACGAGGACGATGAGGATGGGAGGTGTAGGTCGGTGGGTGCCTCGCGGACAGAGGAAAGTGCGTGGTCGACGAAGGGATTCTGCATGAGTCCTGTACCTGTTGGTGGGAGTCAGTACTTGTGTATCTAGGTGATGAGAGTGGGAAGACGTACTCCAGACACACATGCCTACTCCAATCTCACCCTCCTCCTTGACCTTGAGCGTATACAAATGGTAATCATCGATATCATCCGACATACCCCTCTCAGCCGGCGCTCCCGGCCTCAGCTCCTCCACATGGTGGCTCGTCTTGATATCAATACCCCTACGCTTAAACTTCTGCATCGCATACCCCGCGAGTTTCTTGTCAAACATCGGCAACACCTTCTCCGCAACATCGTAAACAGTAATCTTATGATACTGAATGAGTTCCGGGTACAACTTCTTCATATCCTCATTAATCAAGTCGTGCAGCTCGGCACTGAACTCGATTCCCGTAGGCCCACCCCCCACAACAGCAAAGTTGAGCAATTGCTTCTTCATCTCAACAGAAGTAGTAGGTAGCGCCGCGCCTTCAAAGCATGCCAAGATGCGATTCCGGATCCTACGCGCGTCGCCCACGTCCTTGAGGAAGAAAGCGTGTTCCTTGACACCTGGGGTACCAAACGTCTGGCTATAACATCCCACCGTCACAATCAACTTGTCATACTGCACATCGAACAACTTCCCCACTTTAGCCTCCTTCTTCCTCTCCACCTCCCTCTCTTCCTTGGTCTCGCCTGCGTGCCGATCCGTAGTCAACGCAACACCCTGCTTCGGATCATCAACCGCCTCTTCGATCGTAATCGTCCTATTCTTGAAATCCACATCGTCGGCCCATCCTTGGAAGAATTCGACTTTTGTTCGTCGGCTGCGCACGGGTTCGAGGGCAGTGCGAAATTCCAAGGTGCCGACGGCGGTAGAGGCCAGGAGGGGCGTGAAGGCGAAGTAGGAACGGGGAGATACAACGAGGGTTTGAAATTTCGAGGCGTCGAGAGAGCGGGCGACTGTGAAGCCTGCCCATCCGGATCCTAGGATAACTACGCGCTCGCGGTCTGGAAGGGAGGGTTGTTAGGGTCACAAAGACAACTATCTCGTGGGAGGAAGGTAGGAATTGAAAAAACGTACTGCCTCTCCCTTCATCCAACTTGTCAATCGTAATTCCTCTTCTCTGTTCCAAGCTCTTTCCATACTTTCCGCTTACCAAAGCACTCGTTCGAGATAGCGATCCCAGGCGCGAGCTGGCCGCAAGCTCCCTAACACCACCCGGCAACACAGACATTCGAGCCGGCGAAAACATGCTTCAATGCTTCACAGTCTCCGCTGATTCCTTGTATCGCAGCAGTCCCGAATGATCATTGAACTAACAGGAACCACACTTTTTTTTTAGTTATTTATCAACAACCCGGGTGCTTGCGGGACGACACGACGGAAAGTCGGCGTTGACGCCATGACGTATAGCTTTTGCAAGCTTGACGCGCCGAGCGCTACCGAACTAGTTCCCACATGTGATTGCCGTTGCGATTGAGGATTCATTGCGCAGAGGGTGAGATGTATTTCCTTGATTGTATAAATGGAGATTCAGAAGTGTCTGCGGACTGGCATGGTATACCTAGGTAGTTACATGGCAGGGTTGAGAACGCGGTTCGGTCAGCGCGGGAGGAAAAGGGCCGTAAGATGGCGTCCGTGTCACGATGCGCCGCAGTCGATAATGCGTATGGGATGTGGGAGGTGCAAAGTAGGAGTTCGGAAAGGGTAAATATTGTGCCCAGGTGAGAAGGAAATTAATGTTAGTTAAGAAGCGCTCGGATGACACAGACATCGTACGATCAGCCATTCGTCAACAAAATCACCTTGATGTCACGTATCCAAGATTTCTCCATCGCATTGAGCGCTGTCGTCACTTGTCTCTTGACACTGAGGTATGGCCTTTCAATAGAAATGATCCACAGTTGGTGAGAGAACCGCCTAGGACAAGACGGTTCGTTCGGAACTATGTTTTCGTGAATAGGTAGCAATACACATAGCTATAGTACCCACCCTCAAAAACCATTCTTACATGCAACACATACTGTATCCATGAGAAGCACAAACGATCTAATATCTCGTCAATGCTTTACAAGCAATATCAATGCTAGTGGGTATCCCATGTCCCCTCCGGCCCCGCCAGAAAAACGCCTATACACCCAAATGCACCCAACGCCTTCAATACTCCAATCCCAAAAAAGAAGAACGCCCTTCACTTCTTGCTCTTCCCACCCCCCAAGTACCCCACCACATCCCCTGCCCTCTCCAGCCTCGCCCTCGTCTCGGGCAACCCCTTGTTCAACTTTTGCAACGCCAACACCGCCTTCTCCCAATTCCTCTCCACCTCTTCCTGCCTCTCCAACGCATCCACACCAGCCAATACTCCATCATCATCATCATTATCGTCGCCTCCTTGCCGCTCATGCGCCGCTTGCTGCATCTCCTGCCACGCTTTACTCTCCGCCTCGAAGTTCCTGATCCACTCTTCGGCCGCAACCTTGGGCGTCGTCCGCCGCTGCTGACTGATCTTTGCAATCAGCGCATCGCGTCTAGCCACCGTAGAGGAAAGCTGCGTTCGCAGTTTATCGTCAAAGGCTTCGTATTCGACGGTTTCTACCAGTGACTCGGCCCCTCTGCCATTGTTCAATCCGCCACTCCCCCCATCGATATCCATCCTATCCCTGTCCCCATTTGCTACCCCGTCTTCTGAATTGCTCTGGATGACGTCGATGCCGTTGATACTGATGTTTTGTCGCATTCCTTGTAATACTTGCGCAACAAAGATCTCGACCAAGTCTTCTACGCTCCGTCGTAGTTCATCCGGCGCGTTTGCGGTCTCATCTGTAGAGGGGACTGGGGGCAGGTGAAGATCGAGTTTCTGTCGCGCGGCGGTGCGGATCTGGTTGGTGAGGTAGGTGAGATCGCTTGGGGACTGGAGTTCGATTTTGCGGTGTTCCATTGCGGGGGTGGGTGGGTTGTTGTTGGGTTCTTGGTGTTTGCAGCGTGCGCGCTGTGCGAATGGGGTTCTTTTTCCTTTTTGTTGGAGAGATTGTGGATTTCTTGTATTCGATGGATGGTTTGCGCAAGTTGCTGAGAGGCAGATATGCGAGGTTCTTCGGCGTGGCGGGGTGTATATCGTATGGTGCAATGACCGTCGTCGTGAGTTGGGTCAGGTTTGTTTTGGCTGTTTGTTTGCGAACGCGAAACGTGGACCGCGCGCGACGCTTGATCACCTTATCAGCCCGCCTTATCGGGGCCGAGGCTGTGGGGTCGCTGCACCACCTCGAAGCATGCGCTGAGCAGCAGAACAGTCTTGCACCGTTGGATACATGGCCTGATGTGCGATAATAGCTATGTAGCTTGTGTATTGTTCCATCAGGATTACAGAGACAAAAAGAGCGCAAAAGCTTCTTGAGCAGCATATAGACACCTCCCGAACACCTGATCCCATCCAATCCAGTCTCCAGCATGCAGCCATCCAAACCAAACGCCCATGACCATGTACCAAAACGCCTATCCCAACCCATATAAACATGAATCCAGTGTCGCATCATCCATTGGAATGCCAAAGCATATGCACATCCATTGTCCAACCACAGCCTCCCCATGCATCCATGCCTGTACACATCTATAGCCGAGTATCAGAAGGAAACATATTCCTGACCTCTTCATCTGTCAGAATGATATCCTGCACCGGATCCTGTCGGCGTTCGAGGTCGTCGAAGTGGTAATCGATGTACGAAGGGAGGAACATTTCTGTCAACATTGTCAACACACACACACACACACCGTTATAGAGCCAACTCGCACATTCCCGCAACTAGCCACCCTCTGTAGCCAGAACAGCGAAAGAAGGGAACAGGAAAGATAGCAACAAGAGCATAGAATGAGACATACCCTGATTCCAATCAAACCCTTGACTAGCCTTGACACAAGTAATCAGCCTCAACCCCCCTTCACCCTCCTCGTCCCCGCCAACATTGACAACGGTATGTTCTTGTCGGGAAAACGTCTCGCTCATCAGAGACTCTCTGCGACGCATGCTACTTGCACTGGTCTGTGGAGAAGAGCCTGATGGCAATGATGACGACGACGAAGGCGTGGAAGAACCATAGCTACGCGGACTACCCCCGCTACCGTACGAGAAGCGGTTCGGCGAAGGTGTGAAGTTGTAATTGTAGTTGTTAGGCGTCGAGGGCCCTGTGGAAGCCGCGAATGACGACGAAGACGACGAGTTCCGATGGTCGTGGGCAGGGCCTTTGCCCTTGCGCTTTGGTATCGCGATGGAGGATGACATGTTGTCGTTGCTGCTGCTGCTGCTATAGCGTTGATTGATAGACAGATAGATAGTGATAGTGAAACCGAGATAAGACAAAAGAGCCCAAGTCCAGCAAAGCAGCAGAATAAAACACCAACCGTCCGTTTAATATCACCAGTTAAATCACAAAACCATACAACAAGTAAGAGAGAGAGAGAGGAAAGTGAGCAAGTCCGGAACGGCAGAAACACAGTCATAACCCATGATCATCGGACAACCGCTGTCCGCTCCGTTGTCATAGATCCACCACCCCCCGTTCACGGCGTAGCCTCGTCTGACTCCTCTCTCTCCCCTCTCCACACGTCCCCCTCGGACTGCGGCGATCGACAGGCGGAAGCAAGGTGTGTCACTGTGATTGGTTGATTGGCGCCTGCTTTCCGTCAACACCGCCTCACTTATAGTACACATGGCGTGCGCACGTGTAACAGGCACCCGCCTCTGCTAGTTGCATTCGCGGGCTATGTGTTGCGTGCGCGCGCGCATCTTGCATGATGCATGCATTTCGTAGCCGTAGCGTCATGTATAGCTGTTATCTTTCTTATCTCCATGGCAGCTAGATATATTCGAGCTTGCTGGGGATTGATGATAGTAGTAGAGCCGACGACTTCCGATGCAACATGGTTTATTGATGGTGGGGATCAATCAGGTCATCTGGGTACTATAATAGTATGTGACGTAGCAATAGCGTGTCGAAAGACCGAGGAACCGAAGGAACGTTATCACCCGGTTCCTGAATCGACCTGCACGTACACCGGAACAACGCACGCCATGGCATGCATCGTCCGCTGAGCTGTCCATCAAGGTAGAGAGCAGAGTAGTGTGCCAACATCACTTTCAAAACATTCGCAAATTGTTAGAATGAAGGAGCCATGCTCATTTCCATTGCAATAGAGAGATCCATAGTTCAGAGTATTTCGAATCAACCGCAACTAAACAGGCATTGCTACGTCCATAAAACACCATCGCGCTCGCGTTTGCATACGCATTCCCATATATCATACAAATGTCAAAAAACTTCTGGATATCGTTCCTTTGCTCGCAGGACAAAATTCAAACTCATAAAGAGTTTCCCCCCAAAAAGGAAAAACAGGATGGCGAGGCTCGGTTCCTGCCGACAAACTCGTATTAGTGAGAGACGTGAAGAAAGGGGGACAAGTAAAAAAGCAGTCGCATAACTTCCATAAACAGAGCACACGCTAGCAAACAACTCAGCTGGCTTTGACAGCAAAAGGAAAAGACAACAAAAGCAAACCACCACAAACAGGGGGGTAGAGCATTGCGAAGGAAAACGGAAATCAAAGACTTCCGCCATATCCATGTCCATAGCCAGCAACTCCTGCTGTGTACTAGCTCCAGCAAACCAATCCAGACCTATCCGGCACACACCAGGGGTATCCTCAAAGAAGTTGGGAGAAAGAGCGCGCCAATATACGCCTATACTCCGGCGCCGAGATGCTTATGGATGGATTCGTAGAAAAAGATGTCTTGTTGTGTAGTAATAAGAAAGATGTTATGTTGGGTTGAATAAATGAGAGTCGGATCAGTGTCTGTGTGTGGCGTTTGTAATCCTCAGATAGCAGGAAAGACGTAGTAATAATCGGGGGTATCGTATCTTCTTCGTGACTTGTCCGTCAGATCGCGCGCAGGAAGTATCAGGAAACGGCCCTACCACCCCTTCTTCCTCGCGAACCGCTTGTTGAGAAGGACAAGGACCTTTGAAACGTTGAACTGGACGTATTCCAAATCAAGATCTTCCTGGTTGTCCTTTTGCATCTCAAGCAAATCGTCCAGCTTGAGATCGAGTTCTAGAAGCCCGCGGTTCCGTCCCTTGTAATGCAGGGATATGACAAAAGTACCAGGTAAGGGGCTCGTGAAGTTGAAGTAGATGTTCGCACGCCTATTCTCGGGTACGTTGCTTTTCTGGATCACGCCTTCGCGCTCAAGCTGCTGATGAGTGAATTTGTAAGGGCCGAGGACCTGGTGTTTTTGCTGTTTCCTTGTCTTGCCTTCGGATTGACTGCGCACGTTGTGGAGGTAGGATTTGTATGTGTCGAGTTGGCTGACAAGGAAGCCGTTGTGGTCGCGGATTGTGCGGAAGACTTCCTCTAGCTTTCGTGTCTCCTCAATGACCTTTTCTTTCATGGAACCCAAGTGCACCAGCTCTTGTTCGACTTCATCTCGCAGTAGAGAGAAACCGTCTTCCTTGTCAATGACACCAAGATCTTGTAATTGTGAGAGTAACTCCATGCTGCGAATGCCCTTCTTGACCATGACAGAGTCATTCTTTGTTGTGGCGGCTGCTTCGGCGATGCGATCGAGTCGGAGTGGTCGTCGTGTGATGGAGGTGTTGGAAGGTAGCGAGCGGAGGATCATGACGAACGTCGACTTGGCCTCCATGAAGAAGATCTCCTCTTGCGTAATGTCGAGTGCTGCTGTGAGGTCATCGAGGGGTGTTTCCCATTTGCTGAATAGTGGGAGGTTGATGGCCCTATTTTCTTTGCGCGGAAGCTGTGCTGGTGCGGTGCCGAGTTCCTGCAGAATGACACCAAGATGTGAACTGTCTTCTTTGGCCTGGTAATGTTAGCACGGAAATGTGTGGGAGTCCTTCAATTCACTCACAAGCTCAGCGGCATGTCGCTCTAACAGCGAGTGCGTCGCATACACTTCATTCAGCGTGATAGAAAGCTCCAGGTCCTTCTTGGACAAAGCAACGTAGTTGTCCATTTCGAGGGTATCGTAAAAGTCTTGTACTTCGCAGAGATCCAACAGAAACTTGTTGATCCTCTCCTTGTTTTGGTGGATAAAAGGCTGCAACTTGACCATGTACGGCTCCTTCGCATACGATGGCTTGTTCGCGAGATTCTGCAGCATCTTGGCAATATATGTTAGTGTCCGCTTGGGGTTCTCCGCAGGTAGCACATCGATCAGCATATATGACCTTGGTGTGACAATGGCGGGGTTGATGAAGCGCAGGAAGAAGAAGCCTCCGATGAGGGTGCATATGGTCTGATCTTGGGCATCAGGGTACTTCCGTCTCGTCAAACTTCGAATCTGCTTGCATATCCATCGGATGCCGTAGGGCGTTTCCTCGAGGCCTTTGATGATGGTCGTGAGGAAGTTGTTGGCAATCTCCATGAGCATATTGACGCGTGGTGTGATGATGTTCTGTACAGTCTCATTCTCGGCGGCCTGCTCTGCGGTGACGCCTTTGGGCAGGTTTGGGGGAAGTTTTCCCTGGATCTCAAGCTCAGTAACCATCTTCTCGTACACCTTGAGCGGGTTGATCTCAAGGTCAAGATCCTTGAGCTCGATGAGGGAGTTGATGCTGTCTTGCAAGACAACCTTGAGGTAACTTTGACCGGGTCCTCGCCGGGTATATGTAGTCATCATGCGAGAGACTGGAGTGTTGGCGCGCAGAAGCGAGCTGTAGTCTGGTGTACTATCGAATTGATACGTAAGTACTGACTGTAGTGGGGTTAGCATGATTTCCGGCCATTGAGCTGATAGCATACCTGGAACATGGTCAAGAGCAAGTGTTCTTCGCGACTCTCGTATTGGTTTCCGTAGATTGTGAACATGACAGTTTGTAGCAAGGCATCAATCTCAGCCATAGAGACGAGTCGACAAAGATGGGCAATGTGACGCGGTTCGGATTGGAGGAGGAATAGCAGGTTGCCGTATTTCTGCGTCTTCTCGTCGTTGGGAAAGAAGCCTTCCTGGAGTTCGAGGCCGTCGGCAAGGTGGTCGGCGACTTCATTTTGCTGCAATGGTCAGTACAGCGTGGTAGGTAAGACTGGTCAACGCACCTCCTCCAAAGCCATGCGGTTCTGAATCAGCAAGGCTATCCGCGAGTCGAGGTAGCGCACATCCTTTTCCAGGACGAAGTTCTTCTTGGACTGCGACGAGATCTTGGCCTTGAGTTCGCGGAGTATCTTCTGAGCTGCCAACAATTAGCCTACAAGGCGCATTACGCACACATCGTCGCATACCTCTAGCCAGGTCGTCCTCAATCTCGAGCTCCTTGTCCTTGGCAGACATGGACAGATACAGGGCGGTAACGGAGTAGCGCTTCGACTGGCGCACCGAGCGCGACCCATCGTGGGACGACATAGTGTTCTGGCGCGATACGGGGACAAACGAGGAAGAGGACGACGTCGAAGCCCGCGAGGGAGCGTGCAGCATGGAGACCGCCATGTTTGGGGGTCAGGTGTCGCGGAGAGGGCGACTTTAGGAGGCGGTGACTTTGTTTGTGCGCGCGGTCGCGACAGGCAGGCACTGCGGAATTGCAGCGGTCGGGCCCGTCCAGCGAAAAGAGATGGGCGCGGTTTTGGTGGTTGACAGGCAAATTAGGCGGTGTCTCGGTGGCCGGAGAGGGCGATGGCAGCTGCGAGTTGGTGAATGGTCGAGAGGGGGCCGCGGGGGAGAGCTCAGACGGTGAGTGGACAATGGGCAAGCTGCGACATTCCCGACTGACGACTCACGTTACTTGGAATATGGCACTTGGACTGGCGATTTGGTGGTAGGCGACGTTGGGGGAGTCTTGTGATTAGTGGTGACTTGAGTGACTTGGGACTTGGTTCTTGGGCTGGAGGGACGAAGGGGCGCGTGTGTGGAGTAGTCTTGTCTACAGATTCACGGGTGTTTCAGTCCGTCGTGGAAGAGTGGGCCGGGCGTGGAGGCTGCGAGCTGCACCAAGGTGGGACGTCAAACGAGGCAGGGGCAAACGGGCAGCGGGCACCCACAACAACACAACCGACTACCTTGATGCGTGCATGCAGATGATGGGAGCGAGACGATACCCTGCAACTGGCAACGTACACAGCAGACCTGCACTACCTCCAGCTATCCATACGAACAGGGTCTGCACCCCGTCTGAAACTCTGGTCAGCTGCCCGTTCGCCTCCCCCTGAAAAAACCCCGATCCTCTCGCGCCTCATGTGCTTGAAGCAGAACGTGGCCCGCGCCCAAGCGACCGCTGGTTCCTGGCTAAGGCCGACTAGCCAACGTCAAGCCCGACACCAGAGCAACAACACTATTTGACTTTCCGGCCCGCTATCGCAGCAGGAAAAACATTTACAACCATCGACGTTGTCCTCGTCGTCGTCTGTGTGCACAAAACTAGTCGTGCATCTACCGGAGCCCTCAGCTGCCGAGCGCAGAAGGAAGACGCGCCGGTGCCTTGTTTGGCTTGTACCACGGTAGATGAATGGCGGCGGGCTGGCACCAAAGATGTGGAGGTGGGCCTGTAAACAGCCTTGGGTCTCCGTTATCAAGTACCTCATCACTGATTCGGTTTTCCGTATCCGTCGTCGACGATCATTGCACTGCATTTCCCATCATCGTCATCTTCGCACGTCGGTCCGATGATCCTACCCATCTCTCCGTCCTGCTCCATCAAGTAGAAACAACCACGACTATCGCAATGTTGCCAAAACGCAGCTGATAATCCTCTTCCGCGCGCACGCCCGCTAGCGATCGGCAATATATGGACTATCAAATACCGCGCCCAGGTGTGATTACCATACCAATACCAATACACACTTGCGCCACAGGATCGTCTCGCACGGAATAATTGCCAAAAAAGAAGGAAAGGCTTCTGTTTCGGTATGCACTTACATTGTACATATACGAACGTGAACGATATATGCGACTAGCATTAATAGATACAATCACCTTGCAGGGCCCCGAGTCGCTTGGAAATCCCATCACGCCATACAAGGCCCCGCTCCGCTTCCTTCCAAGCAGGAACTGGAGATTGAACAGAGTGAATCCTGCAAGCGATTTTAGCGATTCATGTGCTGTGCCTTGGATAGAGTGAACTCTGGTAGCCGCCCACACGCACCCGCCCCGCCTGCAGCATGGAAGACAGCACATCCGAGCCTCGTTTATTACCATCACCATAAAGAAAGCAAAAGCCGGGCCGGGAAGGGCACGAATACCAGTTGAGAGGTTTATCAATACATCTAGTCGCTGCACACCCTTCATCCTTACTCCCAAAGCAGATGATCCCCATCATTATGCGCCGCGCCGTGCCGAACAAATAGAGTAAACGCGAACGCCTGCGAACCTATATAGTAGTACACACATTACATACATACACATATACATAACATATGCATACACGATCTTGGCTGCAAGCAAACGAAACAAAGCACCGCAAGAAACCACGGCAAACGGCAACTCCACACTCTGCTCGCGATCTCTTCGGTCAGACTCTTTCGTGTGTGCGGGTTGGCCTGCCTCGGACTTTGACACCCTGACGCGCCTTGCGCAGTTTGGCGGCGCAATGATCGCCGTCAGTTTTCGGGGCGCACGGGCTTTCAGGCACAACTGCTCATCCATCCTCTTTGCGCAGGCCTGCATAGCGCGGCCTGCATGTGTGTGTCCTTGTCTTTTTTTTTGTGTTTGCGAGTCATGGACCCTTCTTTTCCCTTCCCATTCCACCATAGGTCCAAATTTCGAGCCAAGAACCGTCAGCGCACCAGCGCCGCAAGGAGCACGTTTACCCCGAAATAGCTGGTTCGTCTTGCGTTAGCTCAAATCTTCATCCAAGCGCACCGCCTCAGGAAACGGTTCGGTCGAGCAAGTAGGGTCTCCACCGGATAATACATGTGGGTTAAATAGAGAGAAAAAAAGACGTTTTTGGCACCCAATTATTTCCGCGCCGAGCGAGGAAGCTTTCACATGGGGCTGCAAATCTCCGTCATGTGAGGTAAGGTGAGGTGAGGTAGTTACCCATGCCGTCTGTCGTGGCCCCCACGCGCTCCTTCCCTTGTCCGCTTGGAGCTTGGGTTCAATGACAGACGTCACGACAATGCATTGGGCTGGAATCCTAACAGAAAGGAAGGAAGGAAACTTACACGGCAGCAGCTACACTCCAATTACGCAAAGACAGCAATCTCATGAGCTGAGGCGTCTCCCTGACAATCTTCCCCTCCATGCCAACGGCCAGCCCGATAACAATGATCCGTCCGAGCAGACTAGGCACTATCGCAAACGCCACGAGGGGTAGTATGAGGAGTAGTGGGAAGGTAATTGCTGGTGGCGCTGACTGAGGGGCGTCTTGCCCGGCTGCCGGCGTTGCCGTACTAGTACCAGTAGCAGTAGCAGTAGTAGTAGGCGTAGACACTGCTGGCTTGCGGGGACCAATAGTGACCAAGTCCTCATCTTGCTCTAAGAAGCTTGATTCCGTCTCATCGACCGGATCGTGCTCGTCCATCCACTCGCGGTAGTCTTGGATAGCCTGCGCAGGAGCCTGCTCGAGACTTTTCGATACGTTGCTAAAGGATAATAATGCTTTGTCTATAGGTACCCGAGTCAGCGGGAACGACACTTGATCGGTGGCAGCGACGATCGCATGCCACCCATTCTAATCAAGCCACAACTTACTATACTGCTCTAGCTTCTGGTAAATCCTTCCCAAGAGTTCGGTCCTCTTGAAGTGCATCTCACCCCCGAACCGCGCGTCACCCCGCCTGGAAGCAGGATACGCATACCCGTCCGCATCTCTCGGTGTAATCTGGGCAATGCATTCATCTAGGTTCCGTAGTTCTTCTTCTAGTTCACTAGTCTCGTCTTGCAAATGCAACAAAACTCGATGATTCAAATGCTCAAACTTTCTATACATGGGCACGAGACCCTTCTTCCCATTCCGGCTATGAGAGCCACTCGACGAACGTGACTCTGTCGATCTGCTGAGCTCGTTGGCTAGCAGTTCGTAGCCCACTACCGTTGGCCTGGTTTGGCTACTGGAAGACGGCGCGTGTTGTTGGTACAGCGGCGGCTGTCCGGCGTGTGGGGAAAAGGGCGGGGGCATGTGCTGCATCATATTCATACCGTCAGGGGGTCGTATCGACAGGGGATGCGCGTGCGCCATTTCTGGGGATTGGTGAGGCGCGTACCCAATGGCTAGTGGAGCTGGGAACGAGGCCATGGGTGCCCATCCAGGTGGTGAGCTGACGGCTGCATTCACTGCCGCGGGAGATGCACCGGAGTAGCCTTGCGGGCTGTACATTGGCATGGGTGGGTAGTTGTAGGCGGGTTGCTCCGCGCCATATTGGTAGTCTTGATATGGCTGTGGAGCTTGGAGGATGTGATTTGCCAGTTCACGCTCTTGCTGTTTAAGACGACTGGCGTGCGGATCGCTTTGACGAGAGGATGTCGACGGAGCTCGAGGAGGAATGGTTTTTGTCAGATGTTGGTTGGGTACCTGGTTCTTTTGGTTCACTTCTTCCTCGCTTTCTGAACCACTGCCACTCTCGTCGCTGCCTTCTTCCTGGTTGGTTTCAGCTTCTTCCCCAGGGCCATGCACGAAACTACTAGCGTATAACGGCTTCTTAAACTTGCGGAATCCCTGGTTGGGTAGATGTGATGATGTCTTAAAAGACCTTCGTGTTGAGGCTGGTGAGGTCATGGGGGAATCGATGGTGTGTTGTGAGTCTGCTGCTACAGACGACCGTCCATCGTCGTGCTGGATGTCGCCTGATGATGACGAGGATGACGACGAGGCAATGGTTGATGGAGGCATGGCTTGAAGATCTGTGGGCGTAGGCGTAAAGTTCTCGCCTGTGTCGTCGCTGGACTGGAGATATTGGAACACTGCTGGTTGAGTAGAACTCATACTGTTCAAGGCAGGGCTTTCCACAGTCGTTGACGCAGACGGACTATGGCTTTCATCAGGCTCTAGATACTGGGCGACTTGGTCATATCCGCTGTACGGCCTCTGCAATACTGTCGAGTTGCTGTCACCTGAGACATCTGATTGTTGCGTCACACTCGAGACAAGAGAGGGATCTGACATGTTGGCCATGTTCCCAGCATGCCGTTGCAAAGAGCTTCTCTTATCACGTGTGTGCGAGCGTTTCACGGCGTTGTCGCCAGTATGCCGGCGACGGAGGACCTTCGCATCGGCTGAGGAGCTGACAACGGAGCTTCCTCGACGCCTTGTTCGTGTGCTGACTTTGCTCTTGCTCTCTTTTATCTGGCCGAGCCTGGGCATGTAGCCGATGGTGCTTCCGTCCTCATCCAGCTCTTCTTGTTTGCCTTGTGACGTCGATCCCGTATCGGTATGGTGCGAGTCGCGCCTCAGGAGCTTCTTCAAAGTGTTGCGAGGCGGTTTATTCCGCTGTTCGCTCTCGTCATGGTCGTCTCCACGGGGCGGTGAGGCTGAAGGCGGGGTGCCTTTCGAGCCCGAACTGGTGCGAGATGGACGACGTCTGGTGTAGGGTGCACTAGTAGCAGAAGTTTTGCCTATGTCATTGAGGCTTTCGTAGTGGTATTTGGGATCGCCTGGTGTAGGACTTCGCTGGCGTGAGGGTGAATCAGAGCCCTCAAAGGGTGAGGTGTGGTCCGACTATGCATGAGAGTATCTACGTCAGTTCCAAAAGCAATCTGGTAGTTCAGGGTAGAGAGGCAAAGAGCGTGTTTATGTTATCTACCCACCATGCTACGTAGAGGTTACAGGTACAGCTGCTGTCAGCAGAGGCGGTGCTTGCGTCAATGGATTTGATATTGGCGGCGATGGCCTGGTGCGGGGATGGTGATGGTGTGAGGGAAGTGAATATAGACAGTGACGCGATGTGCGATTCCTTGCATGCTGAAGCGATTACAAGCACACGTTGTGCAACGAGAGAGGCTGGAAAGGGCAACGCAAGCAAACGGTGGATGTCGTGGTACGCCTCAAGGCCTGGTGATTGTCACGGCTGGTGTGCGCCATCATCATGGCAATGCAGTATACAGAAGACGAAGAGAACGCATGTTGAACTGAAAGAAGCAACGACGAGGAAATTCAGCCAGTCAGTCACCGCCTTGTGTATGCGGTTAACGTTGGCTGTTGACCGGGAGTGGACCGGAAGTGCCGCGCTGCTACCCAATGACGTTGCGATAAGCCCGTCAAGCGACGATACCCCACAATGTGGGTCCTGTCGTCGCTCGCCCTCCCTCCCTCCACGCCTCCACCGTCCGCTGAATCCGTCGATCCGCGTCGCGGTCATGCATTCGAGGCAGACTTCTGTCCAGTGGTGAACCATCTTGTTATTGCTTCGTGGAAGGACCGCGAATATGCATCCTCCGCCGTTCAGTCACTGCTCAATCACTGCCACGTCAACAAGCTACTGCAACAACGACCAGGATCGTCGAGGTGAGCACTTCCGGTTCACTCCACTCAAAGTCCACTCCACGAGTTTCGCAACTCAGCCGTTCCCCGGGCTGGGGATCCTGGCAGATGGCAGGCTCTAGATCTCAAACTTAAATATCTCCACGCCAAGTTTCGAATACCTAAGGCGAGCAGATTCTCAGACAAGTCAGGTGTTCATGACGTCTTCAACGTTTCGGTAGCATGCAAATCTTACAACAACGTAGCAGACTTCTCCAGTTGGAATCACTGCAATCTGAGGACTCTGCCTAGTGCTTCCAACAAATGTTGCATACGAGGTTGGGGTGTGTGATGGCAACATCAGCCTTGCTTCGCCACATGCGGGCAGTGTCTTCAGCCTCGCATGTAATGTGGGAACTGAACACCACCTCTACCCGTCTGCCTTGATCCCTCACGCTGGAACAATGTAAGTAGCCTTGAGGAGCAGTGTTGTCTAGTTGTCGATTGCATAAGTTGCTGTGCTGTGGCATGACAGATGAGCAAGTCCTCTTGTCCTTAATCATACCCAATGGTCCTCATTGATATCAATCCACGTCATGTCGCCATTGCCAGCAGACCTTCCTTCGAAACCGGAGAGAGCTTACACCAAGCCCCATGTAGGCGAGGTTACGACGAAGACGACGAGATATAAGAACCGCCGATACAGAGGGAAGGCGCACGACTACTTGCCAAAGCCGCAAGAGTCACCAGAGCCGTCTGAGCCGTCTGAGCCGTCTGAGCTGCCTGAGCCGTCTGAGCTGCCTGAGCCGTCTGAGCTGCCTGAGCTGCCTGAGCTGCCTGAGCTGCCTGGAGATAGTATTTCCATTCAGGACCAGAAGGTAGCTAAAAAGAGACCTGATGCAAACTGCGTGTTCTTACTTTGGGGTTCTGGAAACTCTGGTAACTCCGAAAACTCTGGAAAATTCACGGCCTGGGCTGTGGATGTTCCAATTACCGATGCTGAAAGTGAACATGAGATCTTCGCTTTGTTAGCTAAACAGTATGCTACACAGCTTGGCTTCTTGCGAAGATGCCTTTCTTTCCAAAGATTCAGTAGGCTCAGGCCTGTTACTGTATGTTCCAACCATTTCGTGGCGTACCTATCTGTACTAAACCGAAGTATAGTTCCGATTTATCAGCCGCTCTTCAAAAAGATTCTTAGCCCTCGCTGAACCTTTGGACCTGGACAAACACCGCAAGATCTTCTCTGAGCGACAAGAAGAAGTGATGGAAATTATTCGCCCTATAACAGACTTCGATTCCGATGATCCAGGCCACTGCTATCACAACAACAGCTCAGGCGAATATGAACATTGCAACCATGCTTGCCCTTTCAACACATCAGAAGATGATGATGTCCCAAAGTGTCCGTTCGAGGAATGGGAATTCTGGAACGACCAGCTAAAGTGGATCGAATATGAGCCTTCCCTTTCTTCCTACTTTCGGGATCCCGCTGGTGCCCGTTCTCAAAACATACTCATCGGCTTCTATGGATATCGCTTCATCCACGAATACAGGTAAGACTTGGGTACGCACGATACAGAACTCGGCTAACGTCAATACCATTAAGAAACATCTTTTTGCCTCCTGCTCCACCCCAACTGCAGCAACCTCGACCACAGAATAGAGATGTAAAACTGAATGGATTGTACGTTGAAACTAAGCTGGATCGTATCAGATGCGTTTACGTATTTCTGGGTATTCTCCTTTGTGTGATCGCCGGTGGAAGGCTTGTCTGGGGTACCTGGGAGATAGTGTTTGGTGCTGGAAGCTTCCTCGTCGCTTTGCCGATGTTATTATTGACACTACTGAGTCATTATGAAATGTGACAACTCACGGTAAGTTTGATAACAATAGCGTTCATTGCAAGGATAAGACTAAGAATAAGAAATTATGCAAGAAAAGAGCACCCGCCCCCGACCACGACCATTCATTAATCAGTGAAAAATGCAAGAAGTAATTGACAGTAAGGTACCCCATCTGGTACTCATTCTAGCAACGCAAATTTGCCTCGTTCTTCATCTTCTCCCGGTGATCGCATGGCAAACGAACCCGGTAGAAGCGACTTGGATGGATAATTCGTATACACTTCATTCGCTTTCTTTGGCCCCTCCCACATGTTATACCCGAATTCTATCAGGAAAGGCGCCCTACAAATAAATATAAGTCAATGTATGGATTTCGGGGGATTTGCGCATTCGAGACTCACCATGTTGAAAGCGCGAGCACCTGTCAAAACGTCCATTCATTGTCTCGATTATTGTCTCCGGCACGAGATCGTATGACAAGAGTCAAGTTCACGAACCAGCCGATGAGATACCACATGGCGCATAAACCCACCGCAATGATTCCCCACCGTATCACACCGGAGAGCCGTCCGAGTAGTTGAGGTCGATGTCGAGCCATGGAAACCAGGAAGTCGACAACATACGTGGTGACACCAAGGCACAGAAAACCAGCCGCTGTCCAGGAGAAGACTGACACTTCGCTGAACGACGTCCCTTTCAAACAAGGATCTCCATAAAACCCTAGATTATCATTTTCGTAAGGAAGCCAACTGAGCACGGCTAGAACGATAACCATGACGTCTATGATCAGTAATACCAATACTCGTCCTTTGTACCTTTGAAGTATCTCCGATGCCGTTAAGTGTAGTACTAGTACTGCGAGGACTGAGTATAGAGGAATGACTAGTAAAAGTATCCTTGTGGAACCTTTGTACGCCTCAGTTCTAGGCAATGAACATATGGAGGCGACCAATAAAGCAAGTGAGAATATTGCTGATGCCAAAAGAAACTCGCGAGTTGTGTCGAGCACTGGGCATAAGATACGCCAGAGTGGGGGCCACATCCGTGATTGATACGGTCTTTGGCTGAGGTTGACCGTGAGAATTCCGCAAAGGTAGACTGTGATCAAAATAGCCTGTATTATGTACGTGGCCAGCATCTATTTAGATTAGCACATTTTAGTCTCGACGTGAGTATTCCGAACGTGGTACTCACACCGATTCCGGCAAGGTCAGGGCTACCTTCCCATCCAATAATCTCGCACATCTCTTTGGGACAGTTATTAAAAGCAGTAAACTCGACATCATGCCAGAGACTCGAACTATTGACAACCCAGTCCCAGAAGTCTTGGTTCATAGTTGGAGTTTCCAGTGAACCGTTTTTGATAGCCTCAAACCCCTGTACAACGGATTGATAAACGGTTCCATAAGTATGATATGCGACCCCATATTTGTCTTCCCTTGTTTCGTTATATTGCAAGTAGCTCCAAATCTCCATGACCTTACTGCAGTTGTTGTTCGCGTAGTCCAATAAATTGAGCCGTGTGAAGTTGTATGGTGTGGAGTTGTTCATGACGGGCGGTCGTTAGCCAGTACGTCGGCTCGTTGACTTGCGCAAAAGAGAAGATAATTGTATGCGAGTATTGGCTTCTGAGAGATTCTCAGCAAATTCAGTTACAATACGCAAAATTTATGCGTTCGTTTCGGTCGTGAAACTCATACGTCTTAACTGAACTCTTGTACCCCTCTGACAAGGCTGAGCCAGCAAGCCACCATCTATCTATAGTACGCATGTATCCATTTGCACCAGCTGAGCGACAGCATAGGCCGTTTCTTCCATAGCGAACCACTCTTTCTAACCGCCTGTTCAGCGACCTGTATGCTCACGCGCCCTCTTGGTGATACAAAACTTCACATCCTCTACAGAAAGAACTGCCTACATGGACCAGGAAATGGCCACTATGTTGCTGACAGCAGATGGAGAGAAGGGCATAGTGGCGACTCACTGTACTGTTTGTAGATGGAGTATTCTGCGTTACGTGGAGGGCGGATGTGCGGCTGACAAGAATATTGCTTTTGAAGCAGGCTATCAACGGTAGCGTTTTTTGGAACACGTCCGACTTGCCTGCGCGTTGCATGCTAGTTAAGTCTGGAAGTGGTCATATCAAAATAAGAGTTACAATGCTGTGATACGATCTTCAAGGCTTCTAGGCGTTAGAAATGCAAACAGTCACGTCTTTATGTAGATCGAGTTGTTCGTTATAGACATGTCAAATATACGGTGCTGTCAAAGTGAGTACGTACCTAAGTACTGAACCTTGGAAGCGATCCGGAGCCTTTTCTTGCTGTTCGCATAAGACCATCTTTCGAATACAAACTATACACGTCGTCTCATGTAGTTCAGCTGTTGGGGAAGGTGACCACTACGACGCATCGGATCGAGGGGATCGGTGTTCACCTGATGCTTTTAGCGTCCACCTAGGCGGGCTTGCCTGGGTACTGTATCCGACCCAACCATCCTGTATCGTCCTCCCACCTCCATCTTCCACGAGCACATTTTGATTGTCAAGATCCACCACAAAAAAAATTCCCAATCCTATCATTTCTCAAAACACAATATGTTTGAATTGCTTAACGCCACCAAGGTGGCTTCCTGCCTACACACAGTACCTTGGTTGCTGAAAGAAATTTCGTAGTAAACTTCTAGGGCTCGTATATCGCGTCTACAAGCGTCGCAAATATCACATCATGTTCTGCTAGAGTCATCTTGTATTAACCTGGTAGCAGTCCATATCTGTATCAATAGGCGACCCCAATTTGTGACCCTCTAGCCAATCCCCATCGAACAAAGTGGTAAGAAAAGGGACTTTCCACAAGGCTCGCCACACGGTAAATTCAATTTCACACAAACCCAATCCCAACCTTTTCTGCTTCAGCCCTCCAAAGCTCTCGTATTCCGTCTTTGCGATTCCAATCTTACCCACCACCATCATGGCTACCCACACCGACGCTCCACCTCCCTACACTCCCGGAACACCAGAATTCACTGAGAATGCGGCCACGAAAATTGAGCAAGTGGAAGCTGCGCATAGAACTATGAGATCACAGCGCTACCTCCTCGAAATCATCGCATACTTTCTCCCAGTCGACATGCCGAAGCTCGTCGAAGCAATCCCCTTCGAATGGCCAACCTACAACGGTTTTCGTGCCTCGCTCCTCCAGAAGAAAGAACGCGCCCACCTGTTGCATCTTTCACAAACACACACCAAACATGTTCCCAACAAACATACACTTAACACCACGAGCACACATGTCACAATATGTCTACACGCACGGGAGAGAACCAACACGAACTCGACATTCTGAACAAGAAGAGCGAGCTGAAGCTACAGGAGATGAAGTGGCAGACCATCCACCTACTTGTTATGTGCATCGGTGGAATAATCTGCGTCCTAATTGTGTGCCTCACACAGGACGGATTTGAGTCCTCGGAATGCCTACTGTAAGGGCTACAATAGTCTTGCTGAGTTCCTTACCGGTATACCTATGGTTGGAGAGAATGGCACATGGCAGCAGTTGTTGGCCTTGGTACCCTAAGAGAATTCCATTGTTCCCGTTAGACCATGAATGTCTCGATGAATTTGGACACGCAAGCATCGTCTTACTCTATCCTATCACAAGTAGTGTCTGCACCAGAAAGCGGGCTAAATCACGGTGATACTTTCATTTTCTCATATGCAAAGTTCTATCCACGAAGCCACAATCAAGAGAAGAGGCTCTTTAGACTCTCCAATACTATATCAGATAGCTAATACGAAGTGCCGAAACGCAACCCTCGAATCCCAACCGCATTATTTCATACCCTAACGTTTTACTCTTAACGCAAATCAGAACTCGCAGTAGAGCTTCCCGACAGCCACCTAAGGGTGACTGAAGTTAGCACAAATCCGTTCCTCTAGAGGCGTCAGACATGCCATGCATGTTACCTGCAACTATTGCAAGTGTATGGCGTCTCAATCATCGACACGGTGACCGTACCGTCACACTCGCCTCTGAGCGTGCCACTGTAAGTAACCTTGAAACCTTCGAGAGTACACCCACAGCCGTTGTGTTTTGTGTCGGCTCTTGAGCACATAGCTTTGTTTGGGTTTTACAAAGTGTGAGGGTGAGGATGATTAAGAATGCTAATCGCAAACCAGGCTGCTCTACTGATTTGTATGTATATTCTTCCTTGGCGGTGATTTGTCATATCGTGGGATATCCTGTCTACGCTGTGTAACCTCAGCTTATCTCTTGCTTGTATAAGGACATTTGATTGGCGAATGCTGTAACATCTACAGCTGACGTGTTCGCCTACCTGCCTCAAGCCTCCTCATATCGTCCCACGCGTAATCCAAATCGATACACTCCTGCAGCCTCGCCCCGTCATCCATGCCGGCATATTACCATACCATGCTCACCCCACAATCCGTCCCCTCAACCCACTCCTCCCCAAAACCTCACTCTCCTCCAACCCATCAACGCTAACCTCACTCTCTTTACTCCCCGCCTTCTCAACCTCCATCTTCGCCACTCCTTTCCCCCCTACTCCTACACTACCCCACCCCCAATTCTCCTCCACCCACGTCACAGGCCAAAGTAGCACCGTACCCGCAACACAGAATATCGTCGCCCAGACCTGCCACAACCAGATCAACATCCACGCGCCCGGTGCAATGAAGCGGATCCACTGGTCGACTTGGTACAGATCGTCTTGCTTGGAGATATGGTAGAGGGGTTTTGACGAGGTGTTGGATGGTGAAGTTGAGTTCTGCGAGGTCACGTCTGCGAGTAGAGAGTGATTTGGTTTGGTTTCGGAAGAGGATGTGGACGAAGAAGCGGCGATGGAAGCATACGTGGGCGGAGAGGCCGACCGACGGAGGTACAAAACGGTGGTAAGTCGCACTGGCGCGTAGTAGAACGGTATCAACCAGATACGGAAGATTTGGAAGATTGTGACGTAGAGTATGAGGTTCTTCTCATCGAACGCTGTTTCCCCTTCTCGTTAGTCATCTTGTCCTGTATACATGCAAATAGCCAAGTAGGGGGGTGTTGAGACGTACCAACACTCTGCACCGTGCAATCGATCCTCGGACTCATAATCTTGTACCACCGATATGTCCGCTCAACCAGCCATCTCGAGTTGGGCCTGCTCCATGTACGACAAAAAGGATGGGAGAAGGCGGCATCGGGCGTAAAGTATTTCTCAATCGTTGTGCGCTGCAGCGATGGCGGAGATTGCGTGAGGAGGTGAATTACGGCGGGGATTTCCTTGACTGGAACGCGGGAGAGTTGTTAGCAAGGAACAAAAGTACGCGCCGTCAAGCCGGACTACTACCGGGAAGCGCATTGGACAACGTCGGGGTAATGGAGGGTGCGACAAACCTGGGTCTTCCATCTTGAGAAGCGTTGACGGAGCTGTGAAGGTGCGGCGCGAGGTTTGTAGAGCAGAGAGCTACGCCGGGTGTGGATGTCGCGGATGGAGGTTTGAGACGCGACCTCGGAATGTCGCGCGGAGGTGACGTCATGCAGATCACAGCTTCATAGCTTCACAGCCTCACTCCATGATGTTTGACGCAGGTCCGGGCATTGGGGCAGGCAGCTTGGTAATTACTTTGATTCTTTACTTCTTGATGATCATTATGCTATCTTGCCGCTCTTGCAGCATCGTGGGATCGTGAATCGAACAGCTTCCAAGGTTGCATCTACTGCGACCTGTACTGCTGAATCTCTGCCTCGTCGAGATGCCTTAGCTTGTTTACGCTTGGTGCCTCTCCAGTCGCAATGCCCTTTGCCAACTCAACAAACCCGCCAATCTGTGTTCGCTTGGATACAGCGTATTGTGCGGTGCTGGCCTTGACGCGAATGATGCCTAAGGATTGGTGTATAAGTCAGTCAATGTTTCACAGTTAGTCTGCATAGAGCGGTTTCTTACCAATACGGGGGTCCTCGGGTCCACCGTCGTGCTTGCCATCACCAAGATCACCGATCCATGCCTTAAGCGCGGGGGAGTAGTGTTTACGCACGACCTCACGATCAGTCTCAATAGAGGCATGACCAGAAATGGATGCCCATTCACCAGAGCTGTTGATGAAGCCAATGTTGACAGACTTGTGTTCCTTCAGGTCGTCTGTCTTGCCAGACTCGGTGTTGGTGTGGAAGAGGAGGTCGAAGCCGTGGCCCTCCTGTGTAGCATACATTAGCGCCTCTTCAATGCCTATGATGAGCGATTAGTGGTTGGAAAACATACCTTGGCAGCGAGAGCCATGGCTCTTGAAGCCAGGAGGTCGCTGTCAGCAACCTGTGTGGTCAACAGGCAGAACTTGGTCTTGTCGACGAAGTTGAGTAGGTCCTCGCACTTCTCCTTGAGGGAGGGCTCCTCAAGGTTCTTCTGTGTGTAGGGGTCGGCCGTCTTGGAGCCGGTATCCGCGTTGCTAAAGCCAGACATGTTGAAGGTTGTTGTAGAGAATACGCGTTGAGGTGTGGTGTGGTTATGTGATAGCTGCGGACATGGCGTCAGCTTCGGTACGCAGTACAATGTCCGAGGACTCTTTCGCGCTGTCCTTGAGATGCACTGAGAAAGAAAACGTGACTGAAGCATACCTTCTTGTGGGTGATTTGGTGGTAGGCAGGTAATTTGGGTGTGAGAGAAGGAGAGGATATGGCGCGACCTTGTATTGATATTGAGTTTGCCCTGATGATGTCATTCGCAGTGGTGCGCGCGTTGGAACCACATTCATCCACCCCACTATGTGGGGTAGCTTCATTTGGTGTCACCCGGCTCTAGTTTTACGGGTGGTCTAGCATGTAGCTCAGGGTCTTGCGTCATGTCATGCTTGTTCAAGCTAGGAATCAAGTTCTAGATGGCTGGGTAGTACATTCACTGTGTTGGACAACAGCCCGGGCGCAATGTTAAAAATAAGATGGTGACATTATCCCTCTAGATCTGCTGCGCGTCTAAAAGAGAAACGTCCTTCATACCCCACTCCGTGACCCCGTCCAATGCCATGCCATGCTGGTATCCCGTGAACAATAGCGGAGAATATACCGATTCCAAGCTAGAAATGAAGATGTGGGCTAGATCCTAGAGTATGCAAAAGCAAATGTCTCGGATATATGACCCAAGTTCCGAGAGGCTAACACCTCTAGTGACAAGTTGTGACATTGCGCGCTCTATGCGTCGGCAGCTGTCTCCTTGTCCTCAATTGACGCCTTCTTGAGGTCGTCAGCAGCGTCTGCCGCGGCGTCCTTCTCCTGGTCGTGCTCGGCCTCGGCGGAAGCGCTGCCGTTGACAGCTTGGTTCTTCTGCGCGGGCTTGCGGGCAGCATCTGTGCTGCCGTTCGCGGCGTCTTCTTCGGCCTCCTCTGCCTCGAGGCGGTCAATCTCCTTTTGTGCCTTGGCGATGTTCTGTAGATGGTTAGCAGAGTCCTAGCAGCCAGATATATGATGACTTGCCTCCTTGGTCTTGCGGTCCTGGTCCTCTTTCCAGTGCTTGAGCTTAGCCTGGAGCTTCTCGACGGTGGCAGGGACTTCCTCCTGGTTTGAAGGAGGGTCGACACCGACCTTGGCCAACTCCTCGATGATACCGATGTTGAGGTTGAACTTGCCGGGAGCAGCAGCAGCGCCGCCCTTCTTTCCCTTCTTGCCCTTCTTTCCGCCGGTACCGGCGAAATAGCTCTCCTCCTCAGTGTCCTTCTTCGATATACGGGTTCCCTTGAGGCCCGAGTCATCGACGGTGCGCTGGGCGGAAGCGGCGAACTTGCTAGCGGCGGTGGTCTCCTTGGGTGGGAGCGCGGAGGGGTCGAAGTGGCGGATCAGGCCCTCGCAGGCAATGATCTCGTCGCCGTACGCAGGTGCGCTGGCTTCCTCGAGACGCTTGGCGGCCGTCTCCTTACGCTTGCTGGCAACGTACTGAATCTGCTCCAGACGTCTCTTCTCGTTGCGGATCTTACGGGCCTGGAACTCGTAGTCCTTGAATGCGCGCAGCTGCTGGAAGTAGTTGTCCTTGAGCTCCTTGCGGGCCTGGTACTTCTCCTGCTGCACTGCGCGCGCCTTGTCTGTCTCCTCGCGAAGTGACCTCAGGTTCTTGAAGGCCTCGTCCTGCTCAGCCTTCAGGCCATCCAGCTCGGTCTGGAGCTTGGTGTACTTGTCGCTGAGGGCCTTGTTCTCGGGGTCGTCCAGGAGCTTCTTCTGCTCAGCGATCTGGGCCTTGATGTCGTCAATCTTCTTTTGCTGGCTGTCGAAGCCGGAGAAATTCTTCTTGGCCTTGTTAAGTGCGCTGATCTCGGCCAGGGCCTTCTTCTCGTCTACTAGCTTCATCATGCCAGTGTCAACCTGCTTCTGCAGACGGGCAATCTCTTGGTCAACATCCTCGGCCGACTTGTAGTTGGACTTGCCCTTGGCAGTCTTGAGCTCGTTGAGCTGCTGCTTAAGCTGCTCGTCGAGCTTCTTGATCTTCTCGAAGATGGCGTTGCGTCCGGACTTGTTACCCTGCTGAGACTGGCGGATGGCGTTAAGTTCCGTCTTGAGCTCCTGCTGGCGCTTTGCGTTGGGCGAGTCCTTGTTGTTAGGCTTGGCGAGGTCGAGCTTGGCTTTGCAGGCGTTCTGTCCGTCGTCAGTAATTTTCCTGTGTGATGTGGTAGTGTGCGATGCAGTCACCCGCCGGCTCATGGCCGTGCGACTGCGCGCATTACACCAAGACATGCACTCACCAGCTTCTCCTGGGCGGCGGTGTGCTCCTTCTCCAACTTGGCGAGCTCCTCCTTGTACTTGTCCTCGTCGGGCTTGTCGGGCTTGACAATCTGCTGCTTTTCCTTGGGAGCAGCAGCGCCGTTGGTGGAAGTGGCCTGGGCGGCGGGTGGTGTTGCGACGTCGGCCATGGTTGCTGTGCAGTCAATTGGGCTGACGAGTTGACTGAGAAATACGGCGGTGGGGGAAGATCTGCGAGACCTAAGTAGACCGCCGAAAAGTGAGGGTGGAGGGCTAAGGGCGGTGGGAGGACAACTATTAAATTCGAGGGTCTCGAGTGAACCACGGGCGACATCCTGGCAACTTTTCCCGAACTTTAGCGGGCGGGCTAGTGCCGCCCGCAGTCTCCATCAATCGACTGGAACATTCACTCGAGCCTCGAACACGCACTCAACAAACCACATGATGGCTGAGCAATCGCGGGGCAAGATCCCCATTCTGCTGCTCAAGACAAAATCAATACCCAAGGATACGTATGAGGAGCTTTTCCTTACTCTCGACAACGGCCGCTATGCACCCGTCTTCGTGCCCGTTTTGGAGCACAGGTTCAAGCGAGACGCCCTGCATGATGTGCGCCAACATGTCACCAACCGCGGCTTCGTGCCAAAGTCGCAGCAGGGCCTCGGGACATATGGTGCGCTGATATTCACCTCGCAACGCGCAGTCGAAGCCTTCAGTGAGGTTGTCGAGGAAATCCGCAAGGAGGGGTCCCTCGACATTGACGATCTGCTTCCACAGAGCCTGCCGTTGTATGTAGTAGGTCCAGCTACAGCCCGCGGTCTGCGATCGCTGGATCTCAAGTGTCCGATCTTGGGTGAGGAGACTGGCAACGGCGAGGCCTTGGCTGGCTTCATCTTGAAGCACTACAACGCCCTCCATCCAGATGTCATGAATCCACCTATACTCTTCATGGTGGGCGATAAGAGGAGGGATATAATACCAAAGACTCTCCAGTCAGAAGAGCTGGATCCAAAGCAGAGGGCGAAAGTAGATGAGGTTGTTATATACGAGACTGGGGAGATGCAGTCTTTCAAGGACGACTTCTCTACCATCTGGCGGAGAAATGCCGATCAAGGCTCGACACGGCAATGGGTCGTGGTGTTCTCTCCCAGCGGTTGTCAAGCAATGCTTGAGAGCCTGGGGCTTCTGGATGCGGAGACTGGAAAAGCCAAAGCTAGGTGTACGGCTGCTGATCAGAGAGACATCCTGATAGCTACCATCGGCCCGACTACGCGTGATTA